TCTTTTTATTACGATTTCCTTGTTTTTTCTTGGAATTATCTGTGAGCACTATTAGAGCTTCATTGTGATGTCGAGTTCCTCTAGAGAGGATATATAGGATTATCACCAATCTGGCTGTACATTTAATTTTTATGCTTGCAATTTTTCAATACACAAAGAAAGCATAAATGTGCTCACAAATCCCATTCTCTCCAGGGATTCACTTGTGATTACCAATTCTCAGGGAGATTTATTTTTCCTCATACCTAGGGTCAAATCATGTCCGATAAGTTTCGTTACTATCCTTTCCTGAGGGTGAGGATTGTTTATCATTTACTCTTCCGCTTTGGAATCCCAGCTCTATGTAGTGTTCTATCAAGTTCCTCCCTCTGATTAAACCCTGGCATCTATCTCTTACCTCTTGTGCCCTGACAGACCATCAAAATAGAGAGTCAAGGTACAAGATTCAGCCAATACCTTCAGGACAGCTGAGGCTTTGATGCTGACTTGCCTCTCTGGGATCTGGCTTTCTCTTCATTTGAGGAATTCAATTCATCTGAGATTCCTTTGTTCCCCTCATGAGCTCTGAGATGGCTTTAAAAGCTATGTTTTAAAGATGATTTTATTTGATGGTTTTGGGAGCTTTCAAAGAGAAACAGAAAATTTAGCCTGCCATCAGAAATTGGAAGTCCTCTCTAAATATATATTAAAAGTCCTCTCATACATATCCCATTATAAGAAGAATATGAATGAAATCTATTTTATTGAGTTTTATATTTTTTAGAAATGCAACTCACCATTATGATTAGAAATCAATGGTTTTCAGTGTTCTTAAATGTAAAATCAAGGGAAAAACATCCTAAATGTGAGTTCAAATGCATATTAGACAGAGATTATTGATGATTTTCTATGAGGAAATAAGGGTTTAAAAACTGGCTTGTAATCACATGACCTGGAGGGTAGTGGCAATATTTCAGGCAGGACCCTTTCATTTCAAGTGCAGGGTCATACATACACCAAACACCTCATCTTTTCCCAGGCATTTCTCAGTATTTCAGGGTGGTTTTATTCCAGCATAGACTATGGATCTTTCTTCTTCTTTGTGCCTGGCTATCATCTATCAATTCTTCACTTTCTAAAAATAGACGTTTTAGCATCCTATAGTCCCATTTAGATCAAATGGTATAGCAATAATAAAATTTTTTATTAAAATTTAATAAGGTAAACAATAAAGTTTTTAGAGTAAACAATGGCATTTGTTTAGGAAAGGAAATAGCTACTTATTCCATTTCCTTTTTCTCTTTACTGATCTTAATACCAGTCATTCTGTGGGAAGGTTCTAGTATTAGGGATTGGTTCTCAGCCCCAGTCTGTAACATCTCACAGTTATATACTGATATCCCAGATATGTTGCAAAATTTCTAAACTATAATTAACTTTATATACTTTGGTTTTATGTTTTCTTTCTTGAACACCAATTCCAGGTTTTCTCCAGATAGCTCCAAATACTATTGCAAATTTCTTAAAAATATAATTTCAGTTCAATTTTGTTGCGGTATCATATATTTCTTCAACATTTCCAGCAATGATAAGTTTCAAAATCAGTGCTATGGGGTTCATGAAAATCTCCTTGAAATAAAACCAAGGGGGGCTATGAATGCCAAACCAGAGTGGGAAGGCTCCCATTTAGCAAGTCCAGTGGAGATTATGTGGAAATACACATAAGTTAGAGTTCAGGTTCATTGAGATAGGAGTGAGTGGGCTATTCTATAGATGTGATGTAATAGAGAACTGTGCCAGGTCAAGAATATCAAAAGGTGGACAGTTGTGTGGTTTTCTTGTTTTTGTTTTGAGGCCCCAGAATATCCACCAATGTAACTCTATTTCTGAGCATCAAAACATTGTTTGCTTCCTGCAATTCATTCTTTTAAAAGACCTTTGCAAAGCAGTTCCAAAGCACCAACCCTTGGAAACACGGGGCATTTAGGCAACCGCTGAGAGCTTAAATGTTTGATATCAGTGAAGGAAGATGGGCTCTCTGGCTTTGCCATGTAGTCACTGCCTGGTGAGCTCTGAGAACAGTATATAATACAAACAGGATCCCTCCCCTTAGCAGCTTCCATTCTGAAAGCAAATCAGTTTTTCAGCGGCAATACCATTTCGTTTTATTGTTAGTGTTGGTGATGGAACTTGGATAGTTCAGGCTGTACACTACACTAAGGATTAAGGAAAACATTGCCTCTGTCCATATGGTGCATCATCTGAATACACCAGGCAAGACATTAGTAGATGGAGAAAGTTGTGAATGTGTGAATGAGATGTGCATGTTTACAGTGGAATCAGCCAGGTCATTTGTTTGTGTTTCTCCTCTCACTGTGCTGCAAACCACACTTGTAATCAGGGCCCCTTCTAATTCTTTTCTGATTCTTTCATCTTGCTTTCCTGTCACTCTTCTAACACCAGAAGCTGCAAAATTGGCAGTGTGCCTCTTCCCTGCCGTGACTCAAAATATGGAGGAGCGGATTTAGGTACCATTCCATGGATCAGTCAGCATGGGTGTACGCATTGGCAGGGACCACCAGTATTTCTCAGACTGCCAGCGAGAGAAAGGCAGGAATATAAAGTGCAGGCATATGTACAAACACAACAGGGAGAGCAGAAATGAAGAGCAACTGCAGAAAGCAAAATAAATCTCAGCTTGGTTCAGGAACAAGCTGCACACATTTCTGTTTGCTTAAGAATAAAACTTTCAGTCTCAAAGGACTGAATTAGTGACTGAATCTTTGTTGAGCACTTACTGAGTGAATGCGCTGTGCTCCAAACCCATTATACACTGAAGACTCTAGAAAACCATTAAAGTAGAAGAAAATTTAGAAGTTCACTAGTCTATTTCTGCAATTCAAGAATGAGAAAATGGAGGCCCAGTGATATTTTAATGGATTTAGCTCGAGGCACTGAGCTGGGCAAAGTGCTGCTTGGTACTAAAGCTCCGACCTCCTGGCATTTAGTTCTCAGTGCTTCCAAATACAGTCTGCTGACTTGTGACCCCAAATATGCATGTAAATGTGGAAGTGAGTCCTATTTGTGACAAGTGATGAAGGGAGCCTGTCCCTGGCATCTGCATTTCCACCTTAACACTTGCCTCATCTATCATTGCTAATATGCATGGCAAGGGGGATGGAGAAGAAAGGTCAATAAGAAAAGCCTGGAGACAGAATCACTTGTTTTATGTCACCAACACTAAACAAGGGTGGTTTGGGCTCCTTGAAGTTCAACTTTCACACAACAAATGATATCTTCCTCTTGACATTCTAAGGTGATAGAGTCTCGAAGATGTGGTCTCATTCATTCATTCATTCACATATTTTCTTAAACAATACTAAGCAGAAAAGGTCTTCAAAGACTTCCTTTTTGCCAAAGCTATTAGATATTACTCAATATTAACTCTTTCACAATGTAGCATCGAATTTTTTTTACCTTTTCTATCAAAATCTTCATGCTGAGCCTCCAGGATCCCTACTCTTTTTGTCTCACATTACACGCAGGTCTCTGAAATATCTTCTCAGCACCTTCAGTGGTACCTGCTGTCAGCCCAAACCCTAAATGGTGTTTTTTCCCTCAAAGATTCTCAGCTGCTGCTTCTCTCTTTTAACAAGTTCTTCATGGGAAATTTCATCTTCTGTCAAGGATTATTTCTATTCCTATACAATTTAGAAGTCACATAATTAATCTTAATTTCTGACTTCAAAGCTCATATATCCCAAGGCCCAATGAGTACCTCAAGATACTTACTTCCTGACTCTTACCCAGCACAGTGTCCTTCCCATTCTGCCTTGTCAGTATTTCTTGCAGAGTTTTACTCTCAGCACTAATAACACTACCCTAATGTATGCTCCTGTAGTGTTCCACCAAGATGATTGAAATTGCTTCCCAGTTGGGCTTCCTGTTTTCAGTCTTGCCCAAATAGAATCCATGCCCTTCATTAACTTCCCAATTTAAACTGTTTAAAACACAGATATAAGTCTGTTTCTCTTAGGGTTGAAATCTTTCAATGTCTGTCTTTCTGAAAAATGATCAACTTATAAAAACATCCTTGATTACCTGGACAGTGCCCACCTCTACAATCTTAATGGCCTGCTGTTCCCAGCTGGGTCCTTGAAATTTACAGGACAAACCACACAGTGTTCGGCAAACTGCGGCTCAGCAAACCGTGGGCTCTGAGATGGCTTTAGCTCTTTGGCCCCTTGAGTGTGGCTCTTCCACAAAATACTGGCTCTTCCACAAAATACTGACTTCTGCGCATGGGCCATGAGGTTTTAATTGCACTGTACGTGCATGCCCACACGTGGTATTTTGTGGAAGAGCCACACTCAAGGGGCCAAAGAGCCACATGTGGCTTGCGAGCTGTGGTTTGCCAACCACGGATCTATAAGTTTCTACCCATTCACTTTGTTCCATGCCCTCTTGCTCATGCTGCTGCCCAGCCTAGAACCCCTCCACTCCTTGCTAATTCTTGACTTTATTCCTGTTTATTTTCAGGCCTTGCTCTGGCACAGTCTTCTCCCAGCAGTCTTAAGTATACCACCAAGATTACACTGCTGTGTTCCCTGTCATACTGTACGTAACCTCGACTCACATTGTGCATAAATGTTATGCTTATGTATTCGTGTCCTGAGTAGACTCTGAGTTCCTCAAGGGGAGAACTATGCAATCCCACTCTATTCCTGGGAGGAGGTGAGGTGCCCAACACAGAGTAGGTAGACAACAACGTTTCTTGACCTGATTGCCAAACCCTTTCTTTGCTATATGCCAGAAATACAGAGATAAACACTACATTGGCCTTGCTTCCGGGAGCCCTCATAGTCAGAGATCTATGTACCTTGTAAACCCCACTTTCACTCAGTATGATATGAGGTGCACATGGGATGTGGAAACTGCCAACTCAGACTGAGGGAGGAGAACAGAGGGAAGGATCAGGCAATACTCCCTAAATGAGGTGAACCTTCGGCTCTTTTCTTCACTTACCCTTTTCTGCACTTTTACTCCTTCAATTAAGGGAACACAACTCCTTCAAAACCTGACTGTAGAGGCATAGACTACCTCATCAATAAGTTGATAAAATCCAAAGCTTTCCCTGGGAGACGTTTCTTTCATCTGGCTTCCGTAAATGTTTAAGCCAAGATGAAAGTACACTGTTTGCCAGGGACTTGCAAGATGTGCTCCTGTCTGGCAAAACACAAAAAGCTTTAAAAAGTGAGAAAATTGTACAGCTAGCGCTGCCATCTGATAATAGCAAACGGGCCCACGTTTGTGCAGAAATTGATAGAAAGGCATTTACTGCATAGTAAGTATGTAGCCAATAAGAGGACGAAATAGCTCTATTGCCAAATGTCGCTTTTAGGTACATACTCCACACCTACTGACTTTGGATGAAGTTGCTTACCCTAAGTGAGGGGAGAATTTGGATCCAAGTGTGCAATTTTGGCTGCAGCTTTGGCTACTGAGAAAACAGCAGCAGGCCACCAGAGGTAGGGCCTGGGCATATCAACTGGATTTCTCATCCTATCTCTCTGGCACAACGTGAGCCATTTTATTTACTTTCCATGCTTTGCAACGCCAGAGTTGCAGCAGGCCAGGCCTGCAGGGGAGCTCAGCATATTTTCTCCAAGAGTTCCTATTGCTAGAAACTCAAATGGAGTTGACACAAATCTAATGAAATGAAAGAGCTCTCTTACCATCCCCTGAATCCAAGAAAGCATTGGCATTTGGAAAATTGTGTTCTAAACAAGTTGACAAGGGCAGGAGTTCAGTAGAAGCTAGCTATGAATTTATATACATTTGAAGGTTTCTGCGCTCCTCCCTCTTCTCTTCTCGACTGAAGACAAATTGTATTCAGCTTCAGGGAGTTTAGTTTAAATATGCATGTACACTTGAGGATTCTCTTAAGAAGGAGGAGGTGGAGGAGGAGGAGGAGGAGGAGAAGGAAGAGGAAGAGAAGGAAAAGGAGGAGGAGGAGGAGGTTTTAGGAGCATGTTTGTTATGGACAATACAATAAAATAAAATAAGAAATAAAAAAAGGAATGAAAGGGGTTTTCATTGTGCCTCCTAGAAATTAGAAAAAGAAAAACAATGTTGGAAAGTTCAATGATGGTGGACTCAAAATTTGCTAGTGCTTCAGAGATTATTATTACAACTACAGTAGCTGTACATAACTCTCTGTTAATTAATAAAATGCATATTAATTAAAGAGGGACCAAGCTGGGACTGCCTTTATGACAGACTTACCAGATTGGGACAATAAAGTATTTTGGAGGCACTGGAGAAGCATTTAAGTACCTGATATTTTGTAGTTTACACTTTGGATACAGAAATATTTCTTGCCACACAAATGATGGAATTGAGAAATTACAGTACACATTTGAGGTCTTGGAGTTATTTAATCTCTCCTTTCCTTAGTTTTCTCATCTGGAAAACGGAAATTATTACCTCAAAAGCTTGTTCTGTAGATGAATTGCGATAACATTATGCCTGGGATGTTGTGAGTAGTTTATACTATTAGCTTGTATTTAATTAAGGCAGGAGATTTAAAGTATTAAATCAAGGCAAATAAGAGATGGTGATTAAGAGCAAGACCTGAGAAGTTACATAGTCATTGGTTTAAATATTTATTGAATACTCACCAAGTATTGGGCATTTGCTAGATGCTGCATATTCAATTGTGAACAATAACACAAAAATGTGAGGCCCCTGCCCTTATGGAGTGAATAGCTTCTGGGAAGAAGCAGAATAAACAGTTAAACAAATAATGCATTTTCCCTTCCTCCCCAAAGGGTAGTGAATTCTCACAGTTTCTGCTTTTGTTCAAATCCCAGGATAAAACCCCATCTATGTTTAGTTTCTACATGGTGTTTCTATGGTGACTGAGAAGGATGACTTGTAGAGAGTAGACACAAATACCTCCTCTGGGTTATAAGCCATTTGAGGTAATTGGGGGAAAGAGGGTTGGCTGCAATACTTTTATCTTCTTGGTGATAGCTGTTTTCATTTCTGGGTGAAATATCTAGTTGTATGGCATTAGTGAAGAAACATTTGTAGCTTGCTTATTGTTTTGTACGGCCAACCACCCTGGGTTTACCAGTACCGAGATGATTCTCAGTACTTGAGACTACCAGTGTCACCCCTGGGAAAGTCTCAGGCAAGCCAGGTTGAGTTGTTTACACTACTTATCTTACCTACTTGTCCATCTTCAGCCCCAGAAATATATAATTTTACATTGTGGAAAGTTTTATGACTAAAGAAAATAGGATGCTGTGAGAGTGAATTACAGTAAGGACCTTGTATAAATTGGAGGAGGGGGGGAGGGAGAAGGAGGAAAAGGAGGAGCAGGAAGAGGAGGAGAGAGAGGTCTTAGGAGCATGTTGGTTATGGACAATATAATAAAGAAAAGTATCTCCTTTACAGGACATTTGATCCTGTTCAAAACATCTGTGGTGACATTTAGTTTATACCAAAAGGTCCTTGAAATTTAGTCTTGCCCAAAACATTGATGGAGACATTTGGTCCATAGTTATTATAAACTAGAGACCTGTGCACTAAGTAGGGGTTCCCCTCAGTACAGCCTGCACCCTTTCTAATCCGGGACCCCTAGGATCAGGCCTAAACCAGCAGTCGGACATCCCTCTCACAATCCTGGACCGCGATCGTCCCCTAACTGCTCCCTGGCCAGCCCAATTGCCCCCAACTGCCCTCGCCTGCTGACCTGATTGCCCACAACTGCCTTCTCCTGCCGGCCATCTTGTGACCACGTGGGGGTGGCCATCTTGTGTGAGGGTGTGACGGTAAAATTGCATATTACCTCTTTATTATATAGGATTCCACTCTTCTGCAGGATTCAAACCCCAATCTATCTCTCTAATAATATGTGCCATTACCAGCTAGGCTAATGAGGCAAAAAGGATTATTATGATCAATATAGCCACAACACAATTATTGGACCAATAAACCATGGTAGTATTTTTTATGTATTAATCCTATTAACCAAAAGTAGAGATAAATGTTATGGGCTATTTGAACACAGGACCTTTTCTAAGCATGGATGTTTTGGACAGAACCAAATACCAAAGGGTCATTTGGTGTAGACAAAATATGCTTATATTTGGTTACTATTTTCATGATAAATATATATATATATTTATTTCCAGCCTATTTGTGTCTTTGAAAGTGTGTCTCTTGTAGATATCATATAATTGGATCCTATTTTTTCCTCATCTATTCTGCCAATCTCCTTTTCCTAATTGGAGTGTTTGATTAATTTATGTTATATGAAATTAGTGATAAGGTAGGATTTACATTTGCCATTTTGCTATTTATTTTCTGTGTGTCTTTTGTTGTTATTATTGTTAATTCTTACCCAAAGCTATTTTTACTATTGATTTATTTTTTATTTTTAGAGAGTGGAGGGAGGGAAGGATGGGTAGAGAGAGAAGACAGAGAGAGACATCAATTGGTGCCTCCTGCACTTATCCCTACTGGGGCCAAGGATTGATCCTGCAACCCAGATATGTGCCCTTGACAGGGAATCGAACCTGCCGTCCTTTGGTATATGGGCCAATGCTATAACCACTGAGAGACATTGGCCATGGCAATATGTCTTATGTTTTTAATCTTTTCTTCATTACCGCCTTCTTTTAGTTTACATGGATATTTTCTAGTGTACTATTTTAATTCTCTTGTTATTTCTTCTATTATATATTCTTTGAGTTATTATCTCAGTCATTGCTCTGGGGAATTCAATTAACATCCTAATTTATTGCAATCTATTTTGCAATTAATTTATATCAATATAATTTCAATAATATCCAGATCTTTGCTCTTATATAGCTCCATTTCTTCCTTTCATTCTGTTATTGTCATAAAAATTATAACTTTAACCATTTTGTGCCCAACAACACATATTTACAAGTATTACTTTATGTGGCTATGTTTTAAGTCAAATAGAAAAGAATGGGTTATAAACAATTTATACTGTCTTTTATACCTATTTATACCTATATAATTACCTTTACCAATGTTCTTTATGACATTACATAGATTCACATTACCACTAGAATCCTTTTATTTCTATTTGATTTCTCATCAGAAACCCCTAAGGCCAGAAAGCAGTGGGATGACATAATCAAAGTGCTGAAAGGTAAAAGACTGTCAACCAAGAATTCTGCTTCTAGTAAAACTATCCTCAAAAATGAAGTAGAAATTAAGGCATTATTCACAGATACAAAATTGAGAAAAATTATTTGCTTGCTCTTCTGCCCTTGTTTGAATATGATAAGTGGCTTATGTTTTGAAACTTTCAAAATTCTCTTGTCTTTGGCTTCCAACCATTTAATTATGATACTTCTGAGGACCAGAATGGTGAGCCGAGATGTTTTCCCGGGGTTGTGTCTCCCGATGCCAAGGAATGAGCTCTGCAGACCAAAAGATTTAAGCAAAAGTGTGGAAAATTTATTACAAGCAGATTCAGACTCCCTGCAAAAGGAGAGGGAACCCAATAATGGACTGCCCGTTAAAGCCTTGTAGTCCCGGGGTATATATTTGCTAAATGCCTGCTCTACATCTATCTGTGTCATCACCTGATTGATTCCAATTGCTCTTGTCCAGCAACGGACCTGAACTTTCCCTGTTTCTATGTGTTCTTTCTCTATTCCTATGCTGAATTTTCTCTGCTTCTATGCACTTATACACCTTGTGACTGCAGGCCCGCCCTTTTTCCCCTTGCCTCCCGCTTTGAGTCCAGAAACATTTTATTATTTCTGCTTGGTTGGTTCCTGTGGTTAGGCTTGCCCAAACTGCTGTGTCTGCCTTTGCCTATGTTCCACCTGCCTTTGTTTTCCACTGGAGCCCTGCCCTGCATTTCAAGTTAACCCTCTCACTTCTAGCTGGGGAAATTTTTTAGTTGGAGTTTATTGAGCTTGTTAGATATGTAGGTTGATTGTCTTTTTTTTTTAATTTTGAAAGTTTCATCTAATAATTCTTCAAATATTATTTCTTCCCCCTTTTCCTCCCCTCTTCTGTCCCTCTGAGACTCCCATTATGCACATGTTGGTCTGCTTGATGCTCTTAAAGCTGTGTTCATTTTCCCTTATTTTTTCATTCTATTCCCCAGGCTGATCATCTCAATTGATCAATCTTTAAGATCACTAATTTTTTATTCTGACTGTTCAAATCTGAGTGGTGTTCTTGTAATGAAATTTTCCTTTCATTTATTGTACTTTTAATCTCCAGAATTTTTATTTGATTCTTTTTTATATTTTATTTATACTCTTTATTTGGTAAAACATTTTTCTCACATTTTTCTTTTGTTCTTTAGACATGGTTTAATTTATTACTTTGACTATATTTAAAATAGCTAACTTAAAAAGTCTTTGTTATAAATCCCAACATTTGGCCTTATCCAGGGACACTGCTTACTGATTGCCCCCACCCCCCATGTGTGTATGGGCTATTCCTACTTGTCTCATTGCATGTCTACTACTTTTGTTGAAAACTGAATATTTTAGCTGATGTGTCAACTTTGAAAATCAGATTCTCTCTCTTCACCAGGATTTGTTTCTATTGTTAATTTTTTTAATGACTTTTCTGAACAAATTGTGTTCTTCTTTGTATGTGACCACTGAAGTCTCTGCTTAGTTATCTTAATGGTCAGCTAATGATTAGACAGAGATTTCCTTAAATACCTGAAACTAATCACTTCTCCAGTCTTTGCCAAGAGCTCTGTGTGTGTACTAGGGAGCAACTTTAACATCCCAGTGAGGCTGCTTTTTAATACCCTTTATTTTTTGCTTGCACAGAACCTCAAGTTTAGCAAGAAATTAGACTTTCTTTGGTCTTCCTGAGCGTGCACACAGTCCTCATCAATGCAGTGCTCTACAAATTCACATGGGCTTCTAGATTTCCAAGAACATGTTGAGGATTCACCTCATTACCATGTTTTCCTTTTAAATTTTTGTTTAGCCTATTGTCTCAACTATTACCAATTGCCTCAGGTAGTTGCAATGTTAAACAATTGCCTCTGGGTATTTGTTTGTTTGTTGGCAAACATCCCTGAGAAAAAAGCATTTTCACATTGGGTAAGCTTAAAGTCATGTCATGTAAAGAGAGCATTGCAAGTGAGCAACTAGATAGGTCAAATAATGACCAATTCTCTAGGAATGGCGACTGTAAAAAGCTCCAACCCCAGTCTGCTCCTTCCCATGACTGCCAGATGGCTGGTTCTAATGTGATTGTGGCTGTCAGTTTTCAAGAGTATTGCAAATCTGAGAGTGGAAAGGTGAGAATAGGGCAAGTTAAAACACTCTGAGGCGTGGTCTTCTCAATGAGATCCATACTTTAAAAAAATGGTCTATGGATTGCTGCCAGCCTTTAACTAATATCTAATATTCAAGTTATAAAAAAGTCAATTTTAATCATTTTTGACAGTGTTTTCATAGAAAAGAGGCTTTTGGATTGCTTTTATTAGCATTTTCATGAGTGCTATCTCTCACTATTGAGCAAGTCAATAAATGGTGTTTGTTTATCATTATCAGTTAACTCAACAGCCTCATGAGATGAACATTATTATCATATTATAAATGATAATGAAGACAAAGAAAGCAAAATATCTGGTGCCTTTCATCATACATTTTTTACTGCATTTTTCTTATTTCACCTGCCATTGAACTCCTCAACAAAGCCCATTCTCAGGAAAAGATTTGATATTAATCAATTATGTCATATTAATCTATTATATATATTTCTGGTCATATGTTTTCTCTCACAGGAAAATGTGTATTGAGTTAAAACATATCTTTCTTCTCATGAAGGAATTTGAAGCATCAGTGAGAAAAGTGGGATTTTGTTTTTAAAGTAGGAAAGCCCTAGAGATCCCTGAAATAACATCATATGGACAGGAGACCTTAGTCTTGTTAGACCTTAGTCTAGTCATGTGAGCATGGAGATTTGCCAGAGCTCTGAGATTATTAGGGCGCTGCCTCAGGGTATGGAGTTTAGCGAGTAGAAGCAGCCTAACTGACTGATGTTCTGCTTGGGCTGTGGTGAGGACTGGCTTCCTAAAGTGTGGCCAACAAACTCAAAATTAGATGTGAAAAAAAAAAAAGATGAGAGAAAAAGATCCAGAGACATTGAAGCATGCAACAGACTACTGTATTTCAGATGGAAACGGATTTGGGGGTGGGGGTGGGGGTGGGGGAGTGAGAAGAGATTAACCAGTGAATTTATATGCATATATGCATAGCCTATGGACAGACAATAGTGCAGGGAAAGCCTGGGGAGGGGAAGGAAGTAGGATGGAAGGTGTCAATGGGCAGAAAGAGGGAGGCATCTGTAATACTTTCAACAATAAAGATAAATTTTAAAAAAGTAGGTGTGAAAATCAATAGCAGAAACTTATGGCTGTACCTTAGGATCAAAAATGTCATCAGAACATCTTTTTAAGAAAACAAAATTGTACTTTTGAATCCTTTTTCTCACTAGTTGTTGTAGCAAGCAGACAAACCATGCTTCAGAAAAGAACTCTGTAGAAATAGTTTTCCCTATGGATTTTTCTTCAGAGATGGTGTACTTCCCATAAATGGCAATTACTTGAAGGATCATCTCAAAGAAACTCTGTTTTAGTTGGAGGGAATATTCCACTTTATAGTCTGGATCATTACTGTACCAGAAACACTCACTATCCACTAGATATAAAAATCGTGAAGAGATTATAAACCTAAGACTTTTTTTTAAAAAAGAAATGTATTGTTTAATAGGTTTTAGAGCATCATCAGAGGATTCCAACATGGATTAATGCTATAGTGGTTCTTTCAAGGGCTAAATGCTCTCATAGTGCTTGAGGGAGTAGGACTGCTAACAGTACCATCTCAGGTATAAACTGAAACAAGTTGTATTATTGTTGCCTTTATTTTTCCTTTATTTTGCTTTGTTTTCTTTCAGGAGAAGGGGAACAAAAGCCTGTTGTTAAGCTGGGGTTTACTTTTAGCAACATAACGCATATGATTACATGACTTCAGAAATCCTATATAATAAAGGGGTAATATGCAAATTGACCATCACACCCTCACATAAGATGGTCGCCCCCATGTGGTCAAAAGATGGCCACCACAAGAAGGTTGGCAGGGGAGGGCAACTGTGGGTGACCAGGCCAGCAGGGGAAGGCAGTTAGGGGTAACCAGGCCTGCAGGGGAGGGAGGTTGGGGACAACCGGGCCAGCAGGGGAGGGCAGTTAGGGGTGATCGGGCAGGCAGGGGAGCAGTTAGGCATTGATCAGGCTGGAATGGGAGTGGTTAGGGGTAATCAGGCTGGCAGGCGGGCAAGTTTTTGGGAGCCAGCAGTCCCCAATTTTGAGAGGGATGTCCAACTGCCGGGATCAGGCCTAAACCAGCAATCGGACATCCCCGAGGGGTCCCTGATTGGAGAGGGTGCAGCCTGGGCTGAGGGACACCCCCCTCAGTGCACGAAATTCTTGGATCAGGCCTCTAGTAGTTTTATGAAAAAGGAGTTGAGGCCCAGGGAGTTTGAGTGACTGTCTAAGGAAATCATAAGTCAGAGAGGTATACCTTAGCCTCACCTCATGATTTCTGCCACTGTGTTTGTTCTATGTTACTGCTCTGCCTCCCTCCCATATTCCACCTAGGTGAAATACAATATTGAGGAACCTGAACATGCATTGGAAGCTTTATAAGTGTGTTTGAACTTTGTTATTATACTAGTAGCCCATCGCACGATATCACGCACAGTAGGCTGCCCACTGCTTCCGCGGGAGCCAGCGGGAAACGCATCGTTCCTCCGGGAGCCACGCTGCTTCCTTGAGAGCAATGAGGGAGGCATAAGTGAGCCACCGTTGCCCACGGGTGCCAAGAGGGAGCTGCACCACTTCCGTGGGAACTGGGAGGGACCCACACCGACTCTACGGGAGGCAGGAGGGAGCCGCGCTGCTTCCACGGGAGGCGGGCCTACCGTCTCCTCTTTGGGCCTGCACTCAGCTATGGAGGCTGTGGGCCAGCCCCTCTGTCCCTGTCTGTGTCTGCTCTGGCTCCGGGGGGCTGGCCTGAACCAGGGCATGGCGGCTCACTAGCCCCCGTCTCTGTTTCCTTCTCTGTCTCTGCTCCGGGCCTCACCTGCATGGGCAGTCTGGTCGTGACCCATTATGGTGTCCCAGCCTAATTTTCATATTTCCTCTTTATATATCCTATATAATAAAATAGAAACATGCAAATCAACCGTCCCTCTGCTACACTTAAGCCATGCCCACAAGCCAGACCTGCAAAGCCAATCGAGAGTGAATATGCAAATTAACCCAAATAAGATAGTGGCGGCCACTGAGCTGGAGCGAGCAGGAGGCTTGGGTTGCCCTGGCGATGGAGGAAGCCAAGCTTCCTGCCTTCCCTGGCTGGCCCTCTGCTCCGCTCAAGGCTACAAAGTTTCAATTATAGAAGATAAATAAGTCCCAGATACCTGCTTCCAGCCAACTGTGGCCTCCGCTCAAGGAGGGGCTGGGAGCTTGGGTCACCAGGGGGCATGACCACCCTGAAATGCCCCTCAGCCCCTCACCCACAAGCCAGGCTGCCAACTGCCAGCACAGCACTAGTGGCAGAAGCCTCTCCTGCCTCCTCAAGAGCACTAAGGATGTCCGACTACAGCTTAGGCCTGCTCCTTGCTGGCAAGTGGACATCACTCAAGGGCTCCCGATCTGCCAGAGGGATGTCTGACTGCCAGCTTAGCCAGTCCCCCCCCAGGGAGTGGGCCTAAGCCAGCAGGTGGACATCCTCCGAGGGTCCCAGACTGCGAGAGGGCACAGGCCGGGCTGAGTGACCCCCCTGAGTGCACAAATTTTTGTGCACCGGGCCTCTAGTATAGATACATGATAGATAGATAGATAGATAGATAGATAGATAGATAGATAGATAGATGCACTCAGGATTCATACTACCTAAAAAAAATCCAGCACACTTAATAGAGAAATCATATAGCATGGGCACTCTCTCGATACTGATACAATCTGTGCTGAACTATATTCTTTTAGTTCATAAACAAATATATTTGGGAATGATGTTTTATCTTGATGGTTGGTTTCAACATTAACTTCAATTCAGACAAGAGAATTTGGACCCCATATACCAGATTTAAGGGGATGAAATGCCATGTAAACTAAGAGAAGTTCAGGGTTTGTTGTACCTGCAAATAGTTGACAAACTATTTGGTAGTTCCTTTCACCTGTAGTTCAGTTTGCACAGTGGTCTTGGAACTAAGTGGCCTTTCAGATTTCTTCAAAACCTATGATTCCTGATTGGATGCCATTTCAAAAAGGATTTTTTAGGAAAAGCCGAGAAAAAAAAACTCAACAGATTAAAAAAGATGATCTTATGCAAAACATAGGATTTTCAGTGGTAAAAAAAGGAAGGCAGAAAAGGACCAGTAATGAAAACCCCAGTTTAGAGGGTTAAAAAGTAAGTAATGTAGACCTGGTCTGCATTGTGATTATAAACTGCTGAATTGGCGTTTACTGTGACAAGAGTCTCCAATTTATTGGATGCATGTCATTGGAATTTGCCCTTTCTTTTTATGTGACTTTCCATGATGAATGCTAGTGCTGGGAAATGAAGAGCTCTTACCCTTTTCATACTTTGCTGAATGCTGGTGAACTTGCCAATTGATGCCTCTATAATTTTTGCCACAAGGTCACCTGAGGGTCCACAGTCAACCAAACAAGGTCACTGACTATGTTGAAAGTTAATAGTTGTTTCTTGAAAGGAAAAGTCACAGGAAAATTAGGCTGTAATTGCCATAAGATGGAAAATGGATGGAGAGAATATTTTCATTTAATAATGCAATTCATTTAAAATAAAATGTGATAAATAGAGCTTGGACAACTAAGGTCATTTGGTCTGATCTCAGTAATTCAATTAGGAGAAATCTGAAAGTGATGAGTGCATGGTAGGTGGGAGCTGTAAAAGCACTGGACTGTTAATAATTTGAGACTTTCTCATCCCTTTATGTAGATAGAAGTGGATCAATTATGTGAACACACAGGTCTCCGTATTGTCCTCATTTCACGTATGGGTCCTGAGGGAGACTGCACAAGGTCCCCAGACCATGAGCCAGAGCTCTGCCTTTTGGAAATGGTGCTCTGTCTTCAACTTGAATTTCAATCAGGAATAATGCAATAACTGGCTTTTTTTTTTCCAAGTCATAATTTCAATGTTCTGAGAACACAGAGCTCATTTGACTCAGAACTGCTACGAAGAAGTAGGGCAACTTCAGAAAATGTTTAGTATTACAGCAAGGTTGAACTGCTGATCTTTCCAAACTCAATGAACATATGGGTTAGGTTTTCGATATGTTTTCCACAAGGAATTCTTACGTGTAGGTAGGCTTCTCTCCACCATCCAGCGGACACTGGCGTGTGATCTAAATTTAATTCAGCCCAAAGCAAATCTGCTAATTGTGTTCATGTTTTTTAAATGAAAAAATTAGAATAAAGGGTTTGACATTTACATGAGCATTTATGAAGCTATTGAGACTGTCCTTAAAAATTCTAGAAATATGATTAGCATACTGTACCTCAAAGCTAAATACAGTTTTAAAGTTATATCATATGACTCATTATTTTAAGTCTAGTTGTCCATACCATGATTTGTATTTAAATAATTAAGACTAACCATACACTTTTGATTCTATTCTACATTAACAAAGTTAGGTAGCATACACACACACAAAGGCAAATTATTTAGTAGCACCTTTTCCTAATGGCTTTTCTTATTACTGACCATGAAACATGCCTTTCGCTAAGTGTAGTGCCCTGTACAAAAGATTGACTGACTTAAAAAAAAAATTTGAGCATATCTAGGAAATTACATTGACCATTTGGAAAATCCAAATGGTGTATATGCTGGAATATGTAGATACCCTGATGACATTTTATTTTAAGGAAAGCTGAAAGTAGATAAAATTATTCTTGAATAATTTCAAACTGAAATCCTTATATAGATATGATGAAGAACTTGTGTCCATTCCCTGAAAGGCTAAAAGGAAGAAATTTTACCTGAATTTCATATACTTTCACTTGTCAGGAAAAAATAAAGGAAAGAACAGATGCTTTGCAACAGTAGCAAAATGATCCTAGCTTGGAACATCATTCGGAATTCTTACTTTGATTTCTTTACTTGGAAATGTGAGCCCCACATGCATTTGAACATTCACCCACATCTTACCTTTAGTTTTCTCCTGTTTACCACACTCTATCCTCTGAAGACTTCGTCCTTTCCCATGACATAATGACCACCTCTCTAGAGATGATTTCTCAAAATATATTTAATAAATGTTTGTTTTGGCCTGTAGTCCTTTATTTCCAGCTGTCACTAAATGCAATGACTTCAAGTTGGTGGTTCAAAGTTGGCCAGGATGGGAGTATTCACACCAGAACAATTGCTAAATGCTACAAATTACACTCCCCTTCCCTGGAGGGGGTTCTTAAATATTTACCAGCACACCATAGTCACACCTCAAACAAAACATGTACTAGATAGAACTAATTTATCCAGCCAAACCTCCTCCACCACACTCAGATTTCCACTTATTCCCTTAGGCACAGCACCATTAATTCCACTCAATCTCTTTACAGTGAGTGCTTCTGGACCCAGTCCCTGTCCTTTATTTTTTTTTTCTCTACCACACCTGTACTTACTTTTTTGATAATTTCATCTTGTTTTATGACTTTACATACAGTATTTATGCTGAGCACTTCCTAATTTATATTTCTATATCAGACCTCTCTGCAGACCCTTACATCAAATTGCCTACTTAGCATCCCATTTGGCTATCTAATAGACATCTCGAGCTTGTCACGTGCTGAACTGCACTCCTAATTGTCTGCACAAATCTGCCCCAACCCCAGTCCTCTCTGTCTCATATATAGCAATTCCATCTTTCTGGTTGTTCAGGGGGTAGGGTGGGGAGGGGGTGGGGAGAATGGGACCTTCTCATTCCGCTTTCTCTTTTACACTCCCTATCCAATTTGTCAGGGGGAAATCCTGTTGGTTCTACCAAGAAATTGTATCCTCATTCTGCTCCCTTCTCACCACCTCGATTGTCATGTCTCACTTGCATTAGTGCAGAACCTCTTCATGGATCTCCCTGTTTCTATGTTTTATAACTTTTCCTCAATGCACAGTTAGAGTAATCCCTAAAATGTAAGTCAGATCATATTATTTCTTGACTCAAATGCTTCTGTGGCTCCTGTTTCACTCGGAGTGAGAGCCAAAGTTCTTATTATTGCCTGGAAAAGCGGTAAGATTTGCCTCAGATTTACTGTGGTCTCATTTCCTATTATACCTCCTCTCTTATGCTGAAGCAGCTATTCTGGCCTTCTTGCTGTTTATTGAACTTGCTAGACATGCTCCTTCTGGCTGGGATGTTCTCTCCCTAGACACTCACTTTGCTAAGTCCCTTTGTCTCTTTCAGTCTTTGCTCATATCCTCCGCCTCGTGAGGCCCACTCACAGCCTCATTCACTATAGCATCCTACCCACTTCTTCCCTCAGTTCTGATTCCCCGAGAACCTGCTTTTTCCATAGCACTTAGCATCTTCAACCATGCTACATCATTTATACATTTATCATGTCTATTGTTTGTCTACCCCACCTGCAAACAAGCTACAGAGAGCAGGATGTCGGCTGTTTTATTTACTGATTTATATCAAGCATAAAGAACTATGACTGGCATGTAGTGGAAACTCTATAAATATCTGTGAATGAATCATCTGCCTTAATTCATCC